ACTTAGAGGGAGATGGCAAAGACGTGTTCTGATTGGTCCATCTGTATTTGCTAAGGCTTGTAATTGGATTGCAGATAGAACCTTATAGCGCCAAGTTCAAATGGGTTTATACAGATACATTTCTTTTTTACTTGACTTGAGAAAGAACTTGACTGGACGTTACTTGCCCTTAGAATGCACGACTTGGAATTGACTCGAGATTTGACCCAACTCGACTTGTGACTTACTTGTGACTCTAATAATAGTGACTTGGTCCCACCTCTGGATACAGCCTTATCAATACTGTTAGACATGGTAGTGGATGAGGGGTGTTTCCTCTGAACAATGTAAAGAGCTTTGTGCACTTGGAAAAGCGCTATATAAATCCAATCCATTATATACAAATGGCTAACATGATACATTCATCACAAAAAGTAATATTTGAAAGTTCAAAATATCCCTAAGCGCTCTTCTTGATAAGGACATTACATAGCTTATACAATCACCTAGATTAAACAATCACAGACACAGGTCAGTGCCTATGATGCACATCTGATGTATGGTGCATCATCTGTCTGAAATGTCCTTTACACTGCGCACCATTACTAAATGAATCCCAACAGACTCATCTTAGTGATCATTGGCTCAATTCCAGTAAACAAAATAATTTCCTCTTTTGTATAATTTCCTTTCTCATTTTAACCTTTACACAGGCTACCACATTGTTTTCATCAAAGTGTGTTGTATACGATTAGACAAAAGTTTCACCATCTGTCTTATTTCTTTCTATTCATTTCCTACGGTTGCAACTTTTTAAATATATTTCTGTGCGAGGAAGCAGTCTGCACCAGGTCAGGGGCAATGTGAAACATTCACTGTAAAATGTATTTTCTACTCTGATATCATTTTACCCTAAGGGTGGGAGTATTATTTTTTTCCATTTACCTGTCTCGAAAAAAACAGTTTTGCAACGTGATATCATACTCACTATCACAGGTCTTTGAAATTATGTGTCAGTCTTCCCACCCTGATAGGATTCTGCCCCGAAAGCAGGTCTGTCAGGAGTCTGCAGAAGATGCAAAAGGCTGCTCATGACACTACTACTCAGCTCCTCTGTCTCCTATCGAGGGAAGAACTACATGTACTGCAGAGGATCAGCCTTTATGCTGCATTCATGCGCAAGTCGGAACTAAGAAACTCTGAAATATCCAACTAGGAAACAGGGGATGCAACGATGCTACCTGAGTTTCGCACTCATATTTAACACTCGGAAGCTAAACGGTTTTAAACTGTTTTGGACGTAGGAAGTTCTGAGTTAATACACATTTTAAGTACATTTTTTAAGCATATGTGAATGCAAACAATTGAGTTGACATGCTGTATATCTGCTAACTCCGATAGGAAGAGAATGTGGTATGACTTCCTCTGACATGGGGAAATAATACTTAAAGTATTATAAGTTTAGTTTGTCTGGCCTTGCTCGTTACTAATCGGGGCCAAACACCCATGCAACATGATGACCAACCATGGACCTCATTTCATCAAGTAGGAATTCAACAGAGCTGATGTAGCAATCACAGCGTATTAAGGTCAATAATGGAGTTGGGGAATAATCAGAGGTCATGTTATTTTACTGTAATCTTAAAATGACCTCGTTCAATTCAACCTTTGCCACTCCAACGGTAATTAGCCGAAGAGTCATAAAACCAAGTTGCGCAAAACTGTTTAAAGAAAAAAATGTTTAAATTGTCCTTGTGGTTTGCTGCTTTACTTGTTCTCTCCACTTCTGCTCAGTGTGCTCGGGACTGGATGAGCCACTGGTGATAAGAAACATTTGGAGGGAATTTCTGATGAAGTCAACCGTCGACTTTGTTTGTTTGTCTGGGCTTTTTTAAAGAAGAGAACCAAGGAAAGGCTTTATCTGTCATGTACAGCCCTGTGTTTATGCTTGCTATGGGCTGAAATGACTGTCTCACACCCTTGAATGGTCAATTAACATTAAAATGTGCCTACGTCATAATGCCGAGCACAAAGAGGAAGAGCACAAAAGCAAACAATTTGTCTTGAGAATTACAGCTCCAAGCAGATGCTGAAAGACTCCCAAATTCTAATTTGCGCCAAATGTTTGCATAAGAAGTTCAAATCAAATCAAATTGTAACACAACAGGAATAAAATACACTAGAAATGAGCTATATCCAGGGAGTACCAGTACCAGATCAATGTGCAGAGGTACGAGGTATTTGAGGTAGATACTGTATGTGCATGAAGGCAGGGTAAAGTGACTAGGCATCAGGATAGATAATAACAAGTGTAAAATAAAGAACAGAATAGCAGCAGCATATGATGAGTGTAAAAGTGTGTGTGTGTGTATGTGTGCTTGCTTACAAGGCAAACAAGTGTGTCGCGTAGAGCACTTAAGTAAACATAATCCCAAACTACTATGAATAATTCCATTTTTACACATATTCCTATAACATACTGTTAAGGCTATGGTTTTCCAAATTACAGCTGCAATAAGTAACATTTTGTGCAACCGACCAAATTCACATACAAATGAAAGTTATAGATCTGTCATTTTCATTGAAAGCAAGTCTAAGAAGCGGTAGATCTGTTCTATGTGCGCTATTTCTATGCATCGTCTTCTTAAAGGTGCACTATGCATAAATGCTATGCCATTTACTGGTTTCAAAAATTCTATACTGAACAAAAATATAAACGCTACATGTTAAGTGTTGGTCCCATGTTTCATTAGCTGAAATAAAAGATCCCAGAAATGTTCCATATACACAGAAAGCTTGTTTCTCTCAAATTGTGTGCACAAATTTGTTTACATCCCTGTTAGTGACCATTTCTCCTTTGCCAAGGTAATCCATCCACCTGACAGGTGTGGCATATCAAGAAGCTGATTAAACAGCATGATCATTACACTCTAAAATGTGAAGTTTTGTCACATAACACAATGCCACTAAGTTTTGAGGGAGAGTGTAATTGACATGCTGACTGCAGGAATGTCCACCAGAGCTGTTACCAAATAATTTAATGTTCATTTCTCTACCATACGCCGCCTCCAACGTTGTTTTAGAGAATTTGGCAGTACGTCCAACCAACCTCACAACCGCAGACCACGTGTAACCACGCCAGCCCAGGACCTCCACATCCGACTTCTTCACCTGCGGGATCATCTGAGACCATCCACCCGGACCACTGATTAAACTGAGGAGTATCTCTGTCCGTAATACAGCCCTTTTGTGAAAAAACTCCTTCTGATTGGCTGGGCCTGGCTCCCCAGTGGGTGGGCCTGGCTCCCATGTGGGTGGGCATATGCCCTCACAGGCCCACCCATGGCTGCACCCCTGCCCAGTCATGTGAAATCCATAGATTAGGGCCTAATGAATTTATTTCAATTGACTGATTTCCTGATATGAACTTTAGCTCGGTAAAATCATTAAAATTGTTGCATGTTGCGTTTATATTTTTGTTAAGTATAATAGTTTGCCTAGTTTCAGTTTATGTGAGAAAACAAGCAGTCATTGTGTAGAGAATCATTGTACCATCTAAACCACTGTGAAATAAGGTATATTTTCCATAACCAGAAATATTGTATTTCCAGCTGTTTGAAGCGAAGCATAGAAATAGAGCATGTAGAACAGATCTACCGCGTCTTAGACTTGCTTTCAATGAGAATGACAGATCTATAAATCACACTTCTATGTGAATTTGGTTGGGTCATCCAAAAAGTTACATATTGTAGCTTTAAGTTTAGTTTAACCGTCTTTTACTTTCGGTTTTGTACACCAGCTTCAAACAGCTGAAAATAATATTTTTGTTTATTGACCATATATTTCACAGCGGTTTAGATGGTACATTGATTCTCTACGCTATACATTGCTTATTTTGTCACATAAACTGAAATTAGGTGAACTATTCGAATTTATGCAACCAGGAAATGGCGGAGTGATTTCTGCGTATTGCACCTTTAAAGGAGAAACACAAACACCAAGAGCCGTAGAATTCAGTGTTGTTGTGCTGTAATAGTTTCTTTCATCATGTGAGGCCAGGTAGATAGTACTAGCCAGATGCAGAATGCAATCTCTTGTGCGTTCAATACAATCCCAATATCACTTCTGTCGAAGATTAGAGAAAGAATGCCCGTCCCTCCTCTTTCCTCCACTAAGTTGAGTTCTCAGGGTATAAGAATAGCTTGCCACCAGCTACTCCACAGTCAGGTTATTACATTCTTCATTTTCTTTGAGAATGAAAAAGTATTAAGCGAGACAAAACAACATTACATGTGTTCTGCTTTCATTTTGGGTTATGTGACAGCTTGGTTGGACGCTGATATTTGTCTGTCAACTGTGATTCCATATCAATATCATAATAATCACATCACATTAGGCCCATTGATATATGAAAAATGAAAACAAACCAAGCTTCAGGCTAGTATCGTATCAGTTATTATAGGGGCAAGGCTGGGTGTTATAAACTGTTATGACAGATGCTATGTCATTCTTATGACAGTGTCATGTATCATAGCCCTGTGTCAGCCTCTCCGTCAAAGGCTTATTACCAATTCTTAATAACACTTTACTTAAAACATCCAGGTATAATGCTTTAAACTTGTTATAAGCATGTATGAGCCTTTACGATGTCTTATAAACCGGGTAGTTTGGGTCCCGGATGCTGATTGTCTGACAGCCGTTGTATATCAGACAATATACCACGGGTATGACGCAAAATTACTTGTTTATTGTTCTAATTATGTTGGTAAGTTTATAATAGTAATAAGGCACCTCAAGGGTTTGTGCTATATGGCCAATATACCACGGCTAAGTGTTGTATCCAGGCACTCCGTGTTGCGTCTTGCATAAGAGCAGCCCTTAGCCATGGTATATTGGCCATATATTTATATTGCCACACCTCCTTAGGCTTTATTGCTTAGTTATATAAGGCTTATAATATGTTATGTATTTCTATGCATACAATGCAATACAACATTATTCATAGTACTGTAGCATTTACCTGCTTCCACTGCCGTCACAGTGATGTTGTGCCAGCCAGCCGTCTCTCGGTCCAGAATATTGCCCAGCGTGATGGCACCCGACACTGGGTCAATGTGGAAGATCTGCTCCTGGTCCGTACTCCAGTCAATAGAGTACCTGGTAGGGAGAGTGAGAAAAAAGGGGAGTACATAATACAATTCTGAGTCCATCTGCAAGACTTTTTCAGTGGCTGCCCTAACACTGTGACACCAAACATTAGCATTTTCAAGTGGGAAACTGTGAGCCAGATTCAAAAGACGATGAAAATAATGATGCATTTAGCCGCTGTGCTTGTGTCCCTACTGCACCTTTGTCCCCAAACATGTCTGCGGTTTCAGCCTTTGCTGGAGGAAACACATTAGAATTAATATTTAATGGTGCACTCCAATGAAACCAAAATACATTTGCACATCCTTGTGGTTGGCTACAGATGGACCGTTCAGGTGAGTACAGAGCCAACAAAATACGGTGACTAGTTTCTCTTATTTTTCAGCAGGATTGTATGTCCACCGGGACTTGAATTACATATTATGAGGATCATCAGTTTCTTTTTCTACCTTTTCCACAAAAAGCTCATCAAAGGGATTAGTCGGGTCTTTGTACATGTTATATAAGATTGCTAAAAGGGTTACAGTGAGATGAGCTTCTTATAGTCTAGGTTTGGAGACCATACTGCATCCACAGTTACTGTAGATTATTCTAGATTATTCTAGTCATATTGCATTAGTCTGCCTGTTCTACATTTTACATTTTAGTCATTTAGCAGACACTCTTATCCAGAGCGACATACAGTTAGTGCATTCATCTTAAGATAGCTAGGTGGGACAACTACATACCATAGGCATAGAAAGTAAATTTTTCCTCAATAAAGTAGCTATGGGGGGGGGGGGGGGGGGGGGTTCTATTTTTATTAAAATCTGAATCTGAATTGTAGCTGCAATGTTTATACCAAACATACTACATTCATATTGCTAAACTCACAAAGCTATCATAAAAATATGTTTTATTTATGCAAGAATTGGGGACAAACTGTGACACCTACACAATAATTATGTAAATTACATACAATTATATTTCAACATTCAAAAGTGATATTGTAGGTGGTGAGGGGAAATTATGTAGATGTTACCAGTGCATTCTATAGCAATTGCAATTATGTCAGCACTCTAATATATTTATGGAGAAGTACACATTTCCAGAAAACCGGAAAGCACTAATAAGATATTGTATGCCACTAAATTGTTTTGAGAACACAACTACCCATACACTTCCGTTTCAAGAAACCATTAATTATTCCCCAGCCGATACAGAGCCAAACAAAGAAAAGCTTGGTCAGCTTTTGTTTCCAGAGGCTGTGTTCATTCATCTGGGCCTCTTAGCCCCTTGGTACAGCGCCTGCTGGTACCCGCCAATGCCAGCCAGTGGCCACCAATGCCCAGTTAGTGCAGGGTGGCAGGGGTGTGAGAGAGTGATGGCCCTTGGGCACCGGGCACCTGGGTTAGTTCCATCCAATAGAGATGATTAAAGTGATATCGATGGGCATGGTACCGCGCCAACACTCAGGTGCCGGCACTGCCATTGTGTTGTACTTTATTACACCTGGAGCACTTTCAGTTCAGCCTCATGCATTTTTAATACAGGTAATTTGCACATCCTGTGTGTGTCGGTGTGTGTGAAGCTCTGTCCATCGCACTCGACTAGCCTCTTTTATTCCTCCACCAAAGAGGCTCTGGCACGAAATAATATAATTTTGTCCATAAATAGAACTCAAAGCCGTGTGAGATATTGATGAACCCTCTAGCACGGTCATCAGTCAATGCGGTAGCCTTCGGTAATGTGGTCCTGACGTCGTAAAAATTAATGAATCAATGTATTCATGATTCATATTTGTTTTATGGAGCGGTGTCTTCCCATGGTGTGTTTATTACCATTGTTTGGATTGAAATGTCAATCCCAAACTCCATGTACGCTCCATGACAACCTGGGATGGTTGTTTGTATCGGGGCTCATCTCAATGTTTGTTGATATAAGATGACATTTGCATCAGCAGTGTTAGTGAATATCTTACAATTACTTATTTATAAATGCAGTCCTATAAATGCAGTTATGTAGTCCTTATTTTATTTTGACATGAAATTGCACAAATAAAGTTGGGTCATTTAAAGCTACAGTATAAACAAGTTTCTATTTGTTGAACGTTCTACTTCTTTACTAGTGAACTATACATTATACTAATGGAATGTCTTATTATACACTATTAGAAGAAAAGGTGCTATCTAGAACCTAAAATGGTTATTCGGCTGTTCCCATAGGAGAACCCTTTGAAGAACCCTTTTTGGTCCAGGTAAGAACCCTTTTGTTTCTAGGTTCCACACTCATTCAGAGTCCTCTGCTGCGCATTTAACCATCCATGTCAACTTCCCTGATTACACGGTAGTTCCCCAGTGTAAGGCGCTGGTAGATTCAGGCGCAGCTGGGAACTTTATGGACAGGTCTTTAGCTCTTAGTCTACGTATTACATTGGTTCCCCTGTCTATTCCATTGCCTGTCAAAGTACTTGACAATCGACCATTAGAGTCAGGTTTTGTTAGAGGCTACCGCACCAGTCACTATGATTACGCAGGAGACCCATAATGAGCATATCACGTTTCATACTATTGAGTCCCTTGATTTCCCTGTTGTGTTGGGCCTTCCCTGGCTAGCACTACACGACCCCACCTTTTCATGGCCGCAGAGGGCTCTCACGGGGTGGTCGCGAGAGTGTCAGGGTAGGTGTCTAGCTTTTTCCGTTGGTATGACCATGGTGGAAAGTCCAGACAATGCCTCCACCGTGCGCATTCCCCCCAAATACCTCGATTTGGCACACACCTTTTCCAAAACGCAGGCGACCAGCACTACGTGGTGCCAGAGGACATAGTGTCTGACCGGGGTCCCCAGTTTACGTCTAGGGTCTGGAAGGCGTTCATGGAACGTCTGGGGGTCTCGGTCAGCCTGACCTCTTGGTTTCTCCCCAAATCTAATGGGCAGGTGGAACGGGTGAATCAGGATGTGGGTAGGTTTCTGCGGTCTACTGCCAGGACCGGCCGGGGGAGTGGTCGGTGTTCTTGCCATCCTCCACTAACATGTCACCATTTCAATGTGTTTTAGGGTATCAGCCAGTCCTGGCATCGTGGCATCAGAGCCAGACCGAATTTCCTGCGGTGGACGACTGGTTTCGGCGCACGGAGGAGACGTGGAACGCCACCCACGTTCCACCTCCAGCGCGCCATGCATCACCAGAAGTCCAACGCTGACCGCCACCCCGGTCTTTGTACCGGATGATCGTGTCTGGCTCTCGACCCTCCGCCTGCCCTACCGGAAGCTGGGCCCGCGGTTTGTGGGGCCATTCAAAGTCCTGAGGAGAGTAAACAGGGTTACGTATAGGTTACTACTCCCTCCTGATTACCGTAATTAACCCCTCGTTTCACATATCTCTCCTCAGGCCGGTGGTGGCTGGTCCACTCTTACGACTCCCTCCGAAGCTGCCTCATCTCCTTATTCGGGCAGGCTTCGGCGTTCGTCGTCACCGACCTTCTAGCCACTGCCGCTGCTCTTTTCATCATTCCATTTGTTTTGTCTTGTTTTTCACACAAACCTGGTACATAGCCCCTCATCAGTCTCTGTATAAGTATTCCCTATGCTCCCCCATGTCTTTGTGTGTTATTGTTCCATGTGGAGGTGTCGCTATCTCTTTTGTTACTTTTATCGCCGGGATAGTCACCCGTGTGTTTTGCTTTCCCAGTACGCATTAAAGTCACACTCTATTTGGTTTACACATTGCTGTGGACTGCTGTATTGGTCAAATAAACCCTATTCTATGATTCCCACCTCCTGCGCCTGGCTCCGTCCTACTCACCTTGTTACAGTTTTGATATAAAATAGTGAGTTATTAGCCCAGTTATACAGTGAAGGAAAAAAGTATTTGATCCCCTGCTGATTTTGTACGTTTACCCACTGACAAAGAAATGATCAGTCTATAATTTTAATGGTGAGAGACAGAATAACAACAAAAAAATCCAGAAAAACGCATGTCAAAAATGTTATAAATTGATTTGCATTTTAATGAGGGAAATAAGTATTTGACCCCCTCTCAATCAGAAAGAGTTCTGGCTCCCAGGTGTCTTTTATACAGGTAACGAGCTGAGATTAGGAGCACACTCTTAAAGGGAGTGCTCCTAATCTCAGCTCGTTACCTGTATAAAAGACACCTGTCCACAGAAGCAATCAATCAATCAGATTCCAAACTCTCCACCATGGCCAAGACCAAAGAGCTCTCCAAGGATGTCAGGGACAAGATTGTAGACCTACACAAGGCTGGAATCACCATCGCCAAGCAGCTTGGTGAGAAGGTGACAACAGTTGGTGCGATTATTTGCAAATGGAAGAAACACAAAAGAACTGTCAATCTCCCTCGGCCTGGAGCTCCATGCAAGATCTCACCTCGTGGAGTTGCAATGATCATGAGAACGGTGAGGAATCAGCCCAGAACTACACAGGAGGATCTTGTCAATGATCTCAAGGCAGCTGGGACCATAGTCACCAAGAAAACAATTGGTAACACAGTACGCCGTGAAGGACTGAAATCCTGCAGCACCCGCAAGGTCCCCCTGCTCAAGAAAGCACATATACAGGGCCGTCTGAAGTTTGCCAATGAACATCTGAATGATTCAGAGGAGAACTGGGTGAAAGTGTTGTGGTCAGATGAGACCAAAATCGAGGTCTTTGGCATCAACTCAACTCGCCGTGTTTGGAGGAGGAGGAATGCTGCCTATGACCCCAAAAACATCATCCACACCATCAAACATGGAGGTGGAAACATTATGCTTTGGGGGTGTTTTTCGGCTAAGGGGACAGGACAACTTCACCTCATCAAAGGGATGATGGACAGGGGCCATGTACCGTGAAATCTTGGGTGAGAACCTCCTTCCCTCAGCCAGGGCATTGAAAATGGGTCGTGGATGGGTTTTCCAGCATGAAAATGACCCAAAACACACGGTCAAGGCAACAAAGGAGTGGCTCAAGAAGAAGCACATTAAGGTCCTGGAGTGGCCTAGCCAGTCTCCAGACCTTAATCCCATAGAAAATCTGTGGAGGGAGCTGAAGGTTTGAGTTGCCAAACGTCAGCCTTGAAACCTTAATGACTTGGAGAAGAACTGCAAAGAGGAGTGGAACAAAATCCCTCCTGAGATGTGTGCAAAACTGGTGGCCAACTACAATAAACGTCTGACCACTGTGATTGCCAACAAGGGTTTTTCCACCAAGTACTAAGTCATGTTTTGCTGAGGGGTCAAATACTTATTTCCCTCATTAAAATGCAAATCAATTTATACAATTTTTGACATGCGTTTTTCTGGATTTTTCTGTTGTTATTCTGTCTCTCACTGTTGAAATAAACCTACCATTAAAATTACAGACTGATCATGTCTTTGTCAGTGGGCAAACATACAAAATCAGCAGGGGATCAAATACTTTTTTCCCTCACTGTAGCTAATTTCTGGTCAGCAATAGGCGAGTGATTGCTTCCAACAAGAGAACAAAATGTTTACATTTCAAGGTAAAGAAATGTTTGTCTTAAAGGGGCAGTGTTGTATTTTGAGACCGGCTAGAATAAGCTAAGAAGCCAATAGGCAGAAGGTAGCATAGCCTCCATTATTGTCTGATTCTCTGTACTAATAATGGTATGGGAATAATAATGCATTTTATTTTGTGTTTCTTGCATCATCACATAATACAATGTTAGTCACTTACTTGTCTGAAGGACAAGCAGGTGACTAAAAACATTGAACACCACACATGGCTGCTACTGTAGGATGTATCACAGAATAGCTATTTCCATCTGAAAATGTTATGGGATGCATTTTCTCAATCATTTTTGATGGTAGGCCACTCTGATAGGCTTACTGTACATTATGATCAAATAGCCACAGTGACCTACCTGAAACGCTGTTACAGTAGGATCCATGATCCATACCTGACAGGTGCGTTCTCCATGTCCGGGTCCTTGGCAGTCACAGTGCCCACCAGCGCACCTAGCCTGGCATCCTCCTGGACCTCCAAGATGGCTCCCTCGGCAGGGTGGAAGACCGGCGGCTCATCAGTGTCAGTTACGCTGACCCGCACGATGGTCTGGTCCCGAAACGAGCCCAGCTCAGAAAAGCGGGGGTCTACGTGCTTGTTGACAGCCTCCACCACCACGTTGTGTGTGCGCTTGCTCTCAAAATCCAATGCCTTAACAGAGCACAAACAGAGAGGAGCTAAAGCAGTGACATATCACAAAGGGTGCCTACGTGTAAGCTGAACAGGTATAAGTACTCCTTCATTGTCTATCAAATATATTGCAAACATTAAGAACACATGTTTGCAAATATATTAAATATAAAAAAACTGAAATATTACATTTACATAAGTATTCAGACCCTATACCCAGTACTTTGTTGAAGCATCTTGGCAGCGATTACAGCCTAGAGTCTTCTTGGGTATGACACTACAAGCTTGGCACATCTGTATTTGGGGAGTTTCTCCCATTCTTCTCTGCAGATCTTCTCAAGCTTTGTCAGGTTGGATGGGAAGCGTCACAGCACAGCTATTTTCAGGTCTCTCCAGAGATGTTCGATCAGGTTAAAGTCCAGACTCTGGCTGGGCCACTCAAGGACATTAAGAGACTTGTTCCCGAAGCCAATCCTGCGTTATCTTGGCTGTGTGCTTAGGGTCGTTGTCCTGTTGGAAGGTGAACTTTCGCCCCAGTCTAAGGTCCTGAGTGCTCTGGAGCAGGTTTTGATCAAGGATCTCTCTGTACTTTGCTCTATTCATCTGTCCCTCGATCCTGACTAGTGTCCCAGTCCCTGCCGCTGAAAAACATCCCCACAGCATGAGCTGCCACCACCATGCTTCACCGTAGGAATGGTGCCAGGTTTCCTCCAGACGTGACGCTTGGCATTCAGGCCTAAGAGTTCAATCTTGGTTTCATCAGAACAGAGAATTTTGTTTCTCATGGTCACGTGCCTTTTACTGAGGAGTGGCTTCCGTCTGGCCACTCTACCATAAAGGCCTGATTGGTGGAGTGCTGCAGAGATGGTTGTCCTGCTGGAAGGTTCTCCCATCTCCACAGAGGAACTCTGGAGTTCTATCAGAGTGATCATCGGGTTCTTGGTCACCTACCTGACCAAGGCCCTTCTCCCCCGATTGCTCAGTTTGGCCGGGCAGCCAGCTCTAGGAAGAGTCTTGGTGGTTCCAAACTTCTTCCATTTAAGAATGATGGAGGCAACTGTGTTCTTGGGGACCTTCAATGCTGCAGAAATTTTTTGGTACCCTTCCCCAGATCTGTGCCTCGACACAATCCTGTCTCGGAGCTCTACGGACAATTCCTTCCACCTCATGGCTTGGTTTTTGCTCTGACATGCACTGTCAACTGTGGGACCTTACATTGACAGGTGTGTGCCTTTCCAAATCATGTCCAATCAATTGAATTCACCACAGGTGGACTCCAATCAAGTTGTAGAAAAATATCAAGGATGATCAATGGAAACAGGATGCACCTGAGCTCAATTTCAAGTCTCATAGCAAGGGTCTTAATACTTATGTAAATATTTCTAAAAACCTGTTTTTGCTTTGTCATTATGGGGTATTGTGTGTAGATTGATGAGGATTTTTATTTATTTAATCAATTTCAAAATAAGGCTATATAGTAACAGAATGTGGAAAAAGAGAAGGGGTCTGAATACTTTACCGAATGCACTGTATGTAGCTGTACGAGACATGTACAATGTGTATGACATCGGTAACATGCAATGCATGTAGTATGTTGAGGTTGTAATGCACAGTGATTATTTTGTGTACAGTAGCACTGTGTGTCTAAGACCATGATCCCCTCAGGGACATTAAAGTGAATCCTATGTTATTCTATCATACTGCAGCTTTAGTTTGCCAGGTGAGTGGTTGTCAAAGGTCTCTGGTATATTACATCTTTATCTTCCAAGCAATCAGTTAAGATTAGTGACAATATATGACAATGTTCTGATGTGATAGAATGTCATGATTTCCTACCCACACAGTCAATCAACATATTGGTTCAACTTAATTAAGATTAGATAGAATCAAGACAAGCAGGAATTAGAAGGATCATTCTGCAATTAAGACTTATAATTGCTGTGACGATAGACTGAACTTCTTTGTGCTTTACAAAATGTAACAAAGAAATATCACATCACTGGCACATTCTTTGTTACAGAAAGTAGAAGGTTTTGTACTGTAAGCTTTTGCTTCATGTAGGCACAGATCTTAGAACAGTGTTCAGGAGCAACTTTATACAAATCTAACCTATCTAGGATCAGCACAAAAATTGATCTTAGATCATTGTTTACGGGGCAACTTTATCATACTCTAACCTTGAGTAGAAGTTACCCATAGACACAGATCTAGGATCAGGTTACAATCCAAATCAAATCAAATCCTAACTATAACCATTAGGTGGTAAAACTGTATTTTACTCCCACCTTTTTGATGGTGATGATGGCCTCTTGCGTGTCACTGTCGGTGGTGACCTTGAAGAGTTCCCCACCCTCCTCATCTTTGATCAGGTAGCTCATGTCTGTGTTCTCCCCCATGTCTGCGTCCGTGGCGATCACCCTCCCCACCGGCGTCCCCACGGCTGCCCCCTCAGACACCGAAAACTGGTACATCTCTGAAGAAGAGGAGTGGGGAGTAGGTGGAGAAAGTGGCGGGGGAGATATGAGGAAGAAGAGGAGAGAAGGTGGAGGAGGGTGAAGATTAGGGTAAGCATGATGAAAAAAGGATGATGATGAGGAGGAGGACGAGGAGGAGGAGGAAATAAGATTTGGGAGGGAGGAAGAGAAGTAGATGATGAAGACGATTGGGAGGAGGAGGAAGAAAGAAAAATGCCTTCAATTCATAAGCCCACAATTTACTCTATGTATGAGCACTTCCATAATCAGCAAAAAGATAATTCACCCAGGATCTTTATTCTGTAGAGACAACATGCATCCATCCACCCCTGGTGTTTGACCCATAATCCCATTGGTACTCGATTCAATGCCCTATTTGCTATATCTTTAACCAAAGCCTAAAGGAATGTGTGTGTCCACAGGCGTGGAAGGAAGCGAAAGTAATTCCACTGCCTAAAAATAGTAAAGCACCCATTGCTGGCTCTAACAGCCACCCAAACAGTTTGCTGCCTGTTCTTAGTAAACTGATGGAGAGGATTGTGTTTGACCAAATACGATGCTATTTTTCTGAGAAAAGTAAACTACTGATGCATATAGAGAAGGGCACTGAACTTGTACTGCACTGACTCAGATGACTGATGACTGGTTAAAGTAAGATAAGATAAGATAAGATAAGATAAGATAAGATAAGATAGTTGGAGCTGTATTGTTAGATTTCAGTGGAGCCTTTGAAGTTATTGATCATAAATTGTTACTGAAAAAACTAACTTGCTATGGCTTTACATCATCTGCCATCACATGGTTGGAAAGTTAATATAGAACACAGAGAGTGTTCTTCAATGGAAGATTCTCTAACATCAGATATGTACAGTGTGGTGTCCCTTAGGGCAGTTGACTTGGGCCGTTACTCTTATCTATGTTTCCAAATGATTTGCCACTAGTCTTACACAAAGCTAGAATGACTACGTATGCAGCTGATTCCACACTCTACATGTCAGAGCAAGTTGAGAAAGCTAAACTTCTAGGTATAACAAAGGATGGTCAATTATCATGGGCAAGTCATATGCACAAAGTTGTGAAGATGGGGAGGGGTATGTCTGTTAGAAAAATGATCTGCGTTTTTGACACAAAAATCAACTGTACTAGTTGTTCAGGCTCTGATCTTGTCCCATCTTGATTACTGTCAAATAATATGGTCAAGTCCTGCAAAGAAAGACATAGCAAAGCTGATGCTGGCTCAAAACAGAGAAGCACGCCTTGCCCTTAACTGCACATACAGAACTAACATCAACAACATGCATGCCAGTCTTTCCTGGTTGAGGGTTGACGAGAGATGAACTGCTTCTCTTCTAGTTTCAATGAGAAATATTACTGTGACCAGGGGTCTCTTCACAGTCCCCAACTCCAAAACGAATCCATGGCAACGTACAGTTTTATACAGAGCCATGATCGCATGGAACTCCCTTCCATCTCCAATTACTCAAGCAAACAGCAAAATGTACTTAAAAAAAAAACAGATTAAACAACAACTAATGAAATGCAGGGACTGTGAGGGGACACAGACACGCGCGCACACACACACACACTCTAACACACATAATTGTTGTTGTTGTATTGTTTGTATGTCGTTGTGTATTTTACATTTGTGTGACTGTCCTTGTCTATCAGTGTATCAGTGTTTTGGTTACTTGTCATGTTTTGTGTTTTTTTGTGGACCCCAGGAAGAGTAGCTGCTGCTTCTGCAAAAGCTAATGGGGATCCAAATAAACACATAAATGCACTGGGTCTTTGGCTCAGGTTAGACCAAGGCATGATGCATTTATGTTAAGGTCTGTTAAAGATGCTCACCCACAGGTGATAATTGTTAGGGCATTGAGTCTACTGCCACCACATATAGCAGGGTTTAAGCTAACTCTTTCAATACTCTCCTGTAGAATTTTTAAATAGACTTTCTAATTAACTTTTTTTGGACCACAGCACAAAGCCACATTTTGTGTGGGATGCCAGCGTCAATTCAAAACAGAAAATCTAATTCTCCTCAATGATTCTCAATGAGAACAAAATGTAATTGGGAATTGGGATTTCAGTTTACTTCCTGAATGGATAGAATTTAAATAAAATTGACCCCAACCATGTGGGACACAGTGTCACGACTTCGGCCGAGGCTGCCCCCCCTCCTTGTTCGGGTAGGCTTCGGTGTTCGTCGTCACCGGAGTACTAACCACTGCCGCCCCAATCATCATCACAATTGTCTTGTCAATCACACACACCTGGTTCTAATCCCCTAATTTGTCTGTGTATAAGTGTTCCCTCTGCCCCCTTGTCCTTGTGGGTGATTGATTAATTGTGAGAGTATGTAGCTCGGTGGAGCTACTCATAACATTGTGTTGCCAGGGTAGATTTTCCCCCTGTGCCTATGTATTATTGGATTCCGTTACAGTGTAATTGCCAGGGATGTTTGTTTCCCCTGTGCCTGTTTCGTTGATAGCTATTGGAGCACATTTGTGTGTCAACTAAGGAATAAACTCTGTATTCTGTGATTACCCTCCTGCGCCTGACACCTTTCACTACACTCACCACACACAGATAAATAAAACAGCTGCACATGTCGCACAATCCCATTCATAAAAAAAAAATTTGCCCTTTTTTCTCCCCAATTTCGTGATTACAAACTTGTCTTATCACTGCAACTCCCCAACGGGCTCGGGAGAGCCGAAGGTTGAGTTGTGTGTAGTACTGCTTTGGTTCAAGTTTGTTCACTTGAGTTTCATTTATCAAAGACGCTCTGAGAAATAAAATAGAAAAGTATCAGAATTCTAAATTGCAGGAAAATGCAAGGCCCTGTTTAAATTATTTAGACAGGCAACCTTCCTTCCTTGTTTCCTTAAACTTAGCACAGATCTATAAGTGATTGGAAAAGGGTAAGCAAGCTCACCAACCTATTAATTTCACCAGTTCAGATCTGTGAGTACTGTGAGTAGGCAGGAAGGAAGGATGCATTTCTGAAGTATTCAAACAGGACCCTGTATATTGACAACCGTGTTCCATTATGGCCTTTGACCTTTCTCCAGCTGATACATTATGAATGTCAACAGCATAAATCCATACCACTGGAATAAAAAAATTGTTAATCGGCTCAACTGATTATGTGTCTTATCATATGCAGACATATGGAAACTCCCAAAACCATTTTCATCAGTTGATTGCCTAACCCTTCTAAGCATAGTGTTAGACCTGTGGATAAATATAAGTGAAATTATTTTCTCCATGTGCTTCTGACTACTTCATTATATTACTGATGGGTGTAAGTGCACCGCAAGCATATATCTCGTCCCGCCTCTTAATAAGAGAGTGACTCACTCTGCGGAAAGCGTGGTGGGTTGTCATTAACATCTGTGATAACTATGGTCACTGTGGTGGAGCCGGAGAGACCGCCCATTTGGCCTGCCATGTCGGTTGCCTTGACGACCAGCTCGTAGCGATCCTGCTTCTCCCGGTCCAGATCTGCCACGGCTGTCCGAATCAGTCCTGATAAGAGAGAAAGAGAGAGAGGGGGGAGAAAGATGGAGGGCGAGAGAGACGCCGAAAGGGAAAGGTCACGTTAGCGCTCAGCTCTCATATGTGATAGCCTGCTAAATCTTCTCTAGTTGCGAATATCAACTTCAGTTAAGCACTCTATTAGAGGCACAAGTGCGGCACATTCCATTTCACCGTCTCGGCTCGTCTTGATAGAGTAGATTGTGTCACATCCTTGCCTCCATGCTTATATCATTACGGCTGAGCTGTATTAAAATGAATAATATATAGGGGCCAGAATGAAGGCACACACCACTGAAGAATGTTCCGGCGAAAAAGCCTGTTCACGTCTTTCACTGGCAGTTGGGGAGGATGGGATTTAAGAGAGAAAACCAAAAATCTCATGACTTCTCTTCATCTGACTCGAGTGAGCATTTTGTGAAGTTCCGACACTTTAACAATGCCATAAATATATGTATGTTTACCACCTTACCCCAAACATGACCTTTCTAGGTATGTTTCTCCAAGAACCTGGCATAAAATAACATGGCAATATACCATGGGCAGTATACACCCGGAACTCAATTGGAATTGTTAACATCCTCAGAGTATTTCAAAACAGAAATACAAAAGCAGGGCAGGATGTGAATTTCTTCTCCTTTCAGTGCAATTTCCATCCGTATATATTTTCATACCGATCCAAGACTCACTGAACGAGATGATAATGTAAAGAGTCAACTCTCTGGTCAAATAGCGGGAGATATGTGCCGCTGACTACTACAATTATATTCCCTGGTGGGATATCTGCATCAAATTCCATTGTTGCATTGCCCGAGTTGATGGCATCTCTCCCAGTGCCTTGCATTGTGCTTGTCTGCTAGACACACAAATTAGAGATTCCACTCACATTTAACATCAAGTAGCTGCAGGCAATGTTTCTATGTCAGCATACAGTACATAGTCAAATTCCACTGTGGGATATGGAGGCACATAATACTGCTTTCAAGAACCAAGGGCATAGGAGATATCAGAAATGCAGCTTTTTGCATCAGCTCTTTCTTAGTAAGATCTCATTCAACTCAATCAAATGTTTCTTGACTGCTAACGTTTGTAACATGCTTGAAAGGGATTTCATTAATAAAATATATTGCACATCAATTGTCAATGACTGAGCCCTGTGTATTTGACCGTTAGTCGCTCTGGATAAGAGTCTCTGCAAAATTGCCAAAACGTAAATTTATTTTTCTGACAGGGTAGTGAAAGCAGAGTTCCAAGAAGTTGTTATGTCTCTGGAAATGTATGGAATATAATTAAGTAGAATCCTTAGGCTTTCATCCTGAGAAGTAACTCAAACTTGAACTTCAATACCAAATACCATGATATGAAGTTAAAATACATTCAAAAGACATAGCGTTCCTTAAAAAAATCCCTCAGACATAGGCCATTGGTCATGGAAACAAAAAGATGGTTAAGGACTAACACTCTTTTGAGTGACTGGGATGACATTAATGAGGTGAAATTCTCAGCTGTTCTGTTCTCTTGATGACCTCTTTTATCTGCACCTACACTACATTACCAAAAGTATGTGGACACCTGCTCATCAGACATCTCATTCCAAAATCATGGGCATTAATAGGGAGTTGGTCCCCCATTTGCTGCTATAACAGCCTCCACTCTTCTGGGAAGGCTTTCCACTAGATGTTGGAACAGTACTGCAGGGACTTGCTTCCATTCAGCCACAAGAGCATTAGTGAGGTCGGGCACTGATGTTGGGCGATTAGGCCTGGCTCGCAGTCGGCGCTCCAATTCATCCCAAAGGTGTTCGATGGGGTCGAGGTCAGGGCTATGTCCAGGCCATTCAAGTTCTTCCACACCAATCTCGACAAACCATTTCTGTATGGACCTCGCTTTGTGCACGGGGGCATTGTCATGCTGAAACAGGAAAGGGCCTTCCCCAAACTGTTGCCACAAAGTTGGAAGCACAGAATAATCTAGAATGTCACTGTATGCTGTAGCGTTAAGATTTCCCTTCACTGGAACTAAGGGGCCTAGCCCAAACCATGAAAAACAGCCCCAGACCATTATTCCTCCTCCACCAAACTTTACAGTTGGCACTATGCATTCTGGTAGGTAGTGTTCTCCTGGCATCTGCCAAACCCAGATTTGTCTGTCGTACTGCCAGATGGTGTAATGTGATTCATCACTCCAGAGAAGGCGTTTCCACTGTTCCAGAGTCCAATGGCGGCGAGCTTTACAACACTCCAGCCAACGCTTGGCACTGCGCATGGCGATCTTAGGCTTGTGTGCGGCTGCTCGGGCCATGGAAACCCATTTCATGTAGCTTCCGAAGAACAGTTATTGTGCTGTCATTGCTTCCAGAGGCAGTTTGGAACTCGGCAGTGAGTGTTGCAACCGAGGACAGACACATTTTTAGGCGTTTCGCGCTTCAGCACTCTGTGGTCCCGTTCTGTGAGCTTGTGTGGCCTACCACTTCGCGGCTGAGCTGTTGTTGCTCCTAGACTTTTCAACGTCACAATAACAGCACTTACAGTTGACTGGCAGCTCTATCAGGGACGAAATCTGACAAACTGACTTGTTGGAAAGGTGGTATCCTATGACGTTGCCACGTTGAAAGTCAATGAGCGCTTCAGTAAGGCCATTCTACTGCCAATGTTTGTCTATGGAGATTGGTATGATCTACGAGTCTCCAGGCCAACGCACCTGAGGCAGGGCCATTTATCATCTAGGCACTAGGCCAATCGAATCAAAGTGGGGAGACCAAAAAAGGAATCATTAAGAGTTTAGTGCAGGGGGACATTTGCAGGCAACACAAACCTTGGGATATGCCTTAGACACTACAGTTCATGCCCATGTACAGGCCCTCAGACAAGGAAGAAATTTCCACAAATGTGCTGACTGGGAGATACAATTCCAGTTATCTGCATCTCAACAGACTGTAATATAACACTTGAAGATGTAATGAGAACTATTTCATTTCAATATGTATCCTTATATGTTGAGAAATATAAGTACACAATATGAGGTATGAGACAAGAAATATATAAACTCACTGTTTGCAAATACATCATTATTTCCTTTGATAAAGTATCCAGGACCTCTATACCAGGCAGTGTCAGTGGAAGGCCCTAAAAATTGTCAAAGACTCCAGCCACCCAAGTCATAGACTGTTCTCTCTGCTACCGCATGGCAAGCGGTAACGGAGCGCAAAGTCTGGGACCGAAAGGCTCCTTAACAGCGTCTACCCCCAAGCCATAAGACTGCTGAACAGTTAATGTAATTAAATGGCTACCCAGACTATTTGCATTGACCCCCTTATTTAATTCTTATTTATTCTCTCTTGCACAGGCTCAATGTACACTCACTGGACTCTAACCACACACTCACTGGACTCTAACCACACACTCACTGGACTCTAACCACACACTCACTGGACTCTACCCACACACTCACACCTACTATACTGACTCTCCAACACACACACAAGGATACACACACAAAACACGCAAACACATGCATATTGACGCCACACACACACATACGTTCACATTCCTTCACACTCTTCACATACGCTGCTGCTACTCTCTGTTTATTATCTATGCATAGTCACTTTACCCGTACCTACATGTATATATTACCTCAATTACCTCGACTAACCCGTACCCCTGCACATGGACTCGGTACCGGTACCCCTTGTACAGTGGCTTGCGAAAGTATTCACCCCCTTTGGCATTTTTCCTATTTTGTTGCCTTACAACATGGAATTAAAATTGATTTTTGGGGGGGGTTTGTATCATTTGATTTACACAACATGCAAACAAACAAGAAATAAGACACTTTGAAGATGCACATTTTTGTTGTTGTTGGGTGAAACAAAAAAGAAACACCCCCCCCCCCATTCACATCTAGCCACTGGGATTTTTGCACATTATTCAAGGCATAACCACTCCAGCTCCTTCAAGTTGGATGGGTTCCGCTGGTGTACAGCAATCTTTAAGTCATACCACATATTCTCAATTGGATTGAGGTCTGGGCTTAGACTAGGCCAGACCTCAGTATGCTTAGGGTCATTGTCCTCTGGAAGGTGAACCTCTGTCCCAGTCTGAAATCTCTGGACTGAAACAGGTTTCCCTCAAGAATTTCCCCGTATTTAGTGCCATCCATCATTCCTTCAATTCTGACCAGTTTCCCAGTCCCTGCCGATGAAAAACATCCCCACAGCATGATGCTGCCACCAACATGCTTCACTGTGGGGATGGTGTTCTAGGGGTGATGAGAGGTGTTGGGTTTGCGCCAGACATAGCATTTTCCTTGATGGCCAAAAAGCTCAATTTTAGTCTCATCTGACCAGAGTACCTTCTTCCATATGTTTAGGGAGTCTCCCACATGCCTTTTGGCGAACACCAAATGTGTTTGCTTATTTTTTTCTTTAAGCAATGGATTTTTTCTGGCCACTCTTCCGTAAAGCCCAGCTCTGTGGAGTGTACGGTTTAAAGTGGTCCTATGGACAGATACTCCAATCTCCGCTGTGGAGCTTTGCAGCTCTTTCAGGGTTGTCTTTGGTCTCTTTGTTGCCTCTCTGATTAATGCCCTCCTTGCCTGGTCCGTGAGTTTTGGTGGGCGGCCCTCTCTTGGCAGGTTTGTTATGGTGCCATATTCTTTACATTTTTTAACAATGGATTTAATGGTGCTCCGTGGGATGTTCAAAGTTTCTGATATTTTTTATAACCCAACCCTGATCTGTACTTCTCCACAACTGTGTCCCTGACCTGTTTGGAGAGCTCCTTGGTCTTCATGGTCCCGCTTGCTTGGTGGTGCCCCTTGCTTAGTGTTGTTAGGTGTATATATATACTGAGATCATGTGACAGATCATGTGACACTTAGGTTGCACACAGGTGGACTTTATTTAACTAATTATGTGACTTCTGAAGGTAATTGGTTGCACCAGATCTTTTTTAGGGGCTTCATAGCAAAGGCGGTGAATACATATGCACGCACGACTTTTCCGTTATAAATTTTTTTCAAATTTTTTGAAACAAGTAATTTTTTTCATTTCACTTCACCAATTTGCACAATTTTGTGTGTGTCCATTACATGAAATCCAAATAAAATCAATTTAAATGACAGGTTGTAATGCAACAAAATAGGAAAAAAAATGCCAAGGGGGATGAATACTTTTGCAAGGCACTGTATATAGACTTTACTTTATTTAGCAAATTTTTCTTACTTACTTTGAAAAAATCTGCATTGTTGGTTAAGGGCTCGTAAGTAAGCATTTCATGGTAAGGTCTACACCTGTTGTGACAAATAACATTTGATATGTAATACTACATGTCTGTGAGTCTGCCCTTACCCGTCTGTCTGTCCACTGTGAAGAAACTCTCTCCATCCAGTACGCTGTACACAACCCTGGCACTGCTCCCATACGTAGGATCATCTGCATCCGACGCAGTGACCTTCATCACCGATGTTCCTGTGGGACAATTACATGTCAGAACAGCACAATAACACAAGGCTTCAGGACGTCCAGGTGAACCCTCCACTCATACAAACAGATAGTGAATCAGTGAGGAAGAGGAACCATGAGACAGAGTGAGAGGGGAGGCTGGAAAGGCTGGGGAGCCATTTCAGTGCCCTGCAATATGTTTGGTCCTCAAAATAATATGTGTTATTTCAGGACACCTCTTTAAACGACCTCTCCCTTCGTGACTGAGTGTTTCTCCCCTTCATAGGACAACAAGCTGTGTTTTTCGAGATGAAAGAACATGAAGACATTTAACAACTCTATCTTCAAAGACTGATGAAAAATCGAACCAACGATTAACAGTGATTACAACCACTTATGAACATCAATAGTTTCCACGATGACTTTAAAATTGTGATTTGTTGAGGAACACAGTTGTTTCATTGAAGCATAATTCTTGCGCTGTTCCAAGTCAATTGTGTGTGTAGCCACAAGTCTCTGGCACTGCAATGCAAAGCCCATATTTACATTTAAGTCACACATTTTAGCCAAAGCAAAGCCTTAAGGCAATGGGCCTGAGTCATGTTGGGAAAGGAAACTAAACTACCCTTTTAGCTTGTTAGCCATTTCTCTATGGAGAAACACCTTGATTGGGGTGACTGGGTGGGTGGCAGCAATGGCCCCTCGACCTCCATCCCAGGCCAAGCTATAGGTAATTACTGACAACTGGTGTTGTCCACAAAAGGTCACAGCTGTAGCCTTTCCCAGAGCCCTGTCATGCTACTGTCCAGCCGCATAATAGCCGTATGCTAATGATGCTAATTAGCAGGATGTGTCAGCGCTCTGTTTGTTTCCTGTCATGATGGTGCAGGGAAAAGGACAGTGGATTATCATTAAACACCACCCAGCCATTACCACAGGCGCCTTAGATCAGTATCTGTAGCCGCCTTTTTGGTTACGCCTTCATTTTCTCTCGCTAGCAGGGCCCGCAACGTTTCTCCACGGTGGCTTGCGCTAGCTATTAGCAAAGCTAGCAAAAGTTAATGTTTTCTGCAACGGTACGGAACTAAAACCTGGGAATTCTGCGATGTTCTTGAACTTTAAGCTAGCGTCCTATTATTGCACTCCTAAATCCTCGTGATCAGTGTAGTTCTTTAAGTTGAACCTAATTCCCGCTTAGAGTTAATATTTTACCTCACGTTGGATTATTCAATGGCTGGATCTATTGATGTTGTTCGAATGGGGTCTTCAAGCGTGTACTGTGTTGTAGAATACCATCATTATCACTCCTACGAACCGTCCTGATCTCGCTACAGCGAAACATAATGTAAGCTCGTGAGATCAGGATGGTTGGTACGAGGCTAAAAGTAGATACCCTGCCTATCCGCCAATATGAGGTTTTGTGTCATTGTCTGACTGATATCAGTTTGAAACTGTCCTTATCGCCTTAGAAACAGAAGGCATTACAGCAGATAGCTTTTTTGCATTGCTGGAAATGGGTTGGGGGGGGTTGTCCATTTTTGCATACCTGGTTGTGCGTTGGTAAAGCAGGGAAGCCATTCCCTTTCATGGGATTACTTTCTTATCTTAATTTTCCCCAGGTAATAATCAGCGTGACGCTCAGCTGTTTCGGGGCTGCCTGGGTGAAAGGCTGCTGGAAGAACTATATAAATGCAAATTCTACGTTATTGTGTTTATATTAAAAAAGGGGAAGTAGGAGTTAGTCTGCAGCAGCTAGAGTCCTTATTAATACCTTGGCTGGCCTCAGCTTTCACAAGCAGAAGCAGCTAAGGTATTAGTTATCGGCTGGGGTGTTTGTCTGTCTTCAGCAGATTCTACTTTGTGACAGCCTCAAGGGGATTTCAAAAAAAGTTACTGACTAACCCAATAGGTAAACAACAAAATGTTACAGTAATGAGAAAAGCATTTTATTGAAGAAAGAGGCCTTTATTCATTATCTAAATATTTGTTTTGCTCGCTCTCTAAATAGAAGCGGATGAGTAAATTGCATTGAGATGAGATGGAAGGTAGTGGAGTAATTATTTCTTTTTTTAACAGCGTAATGGCAGATATACACTAAGTTCACATATTGTTTTTAACAAGCATGTTTTCCTGTTTGTTTGTGGGTCTTCCTCGTATTCAACTGAGCTTCACATTGAATGTTTTCAGTCTCTGGCTACTGTAGGTTTGGCCGTTCCTGTTGCATTTACTGTGGAACCTCACATCACTGCTCCACCAGAATGAAAGGCATTCTGAAGGCTATGGCTGCATACCAAATGGCACCCTATTCCCTAGATCGTGCACTCCTTTTGACCAGGCCCAATAGGGCTCTGGTCAAAAGTAGTCCAAATAGTGCACTATGTAGGGAATAGGGTGCCATTTGGGACAGACTCTATATAATATCCATATACCAGTATCGTACATACATCACTATTCATGCTCAGCAATGGCATTGATGTTACATCAGCTAATAGATATGGACTGCATATCCCTGCCAATTTCATACTGAAGACACACAACTCGGAGGTAGATGCAGTTTTTGAATGGGAGAGAGACAATGTATATCTGAGGAAATGTATCAGGAAACAGTCCCTGCCACTGCGCAAAGATCTCAGAATCGTGTTGTCACAATGGCAATATGAACATAATTTCTTTGAAACTTATCGTTTTGACCATGTTTGTATCAGTCAAATCAAATGTATCTTATAAAGACATTTTTACATCAGCAGTTGTCACAAAGTACTGTATCTGGCCTCATCTCCATTGCTTCTTAGTTGTCTAACGTGGACATGAACGGAGGAGTCTGGCCAGATACCATTACCCATCACCCATCTAACTACTTTACACCCTTCTCAGTTGAAACAGTTGAGGAAAATTAGTAGTGACTGGCTGTGTCATAAAAGATACATTAAAGAGCCCCTGCTTAATTTCTGTCGTAAAAACACCCCCGTCTAAATGTCTCCTCTCAGCTTTCAATCTGTCTGTCTCTCATTGGAAAAAGCGTGGAGTGGTGAACTGCATATTTCACAGATGCTCTGTAATGGCGTCCAAAAAGCATACTGGACAACAATGCTAAATGTGGTGCTTTCGGTTGCTTATTATATAGCAATAGCATGTTAGTTACTAAGTAATACAGTGTTAATTACAAAAATGAGGTCATATACTGTGTCAGCGTTTTAAAACATGTAATAGTTCAAAGCGCTAGGTGTGTGGAGTGTGTCTGAGTAATTGTACCCTTAATGATATACTGTACTGGGGATGAAAAATAGAAGATACATGCAAAAATGAAAGCTCTAATAAAAAAACGAATTCTAAGGCCAGCTCCTCTGGAACGAATGGAGGGTTTTGGGGTGATATATTTATTTTTCACCCCTACTGGCAAGATTTATGCACGGGTCTGTTTTAATGGCACAAACACAGTCCGTTCAAACGGCTTCCCACAGCATTCTGCACTCATGGGGAGATGGTTCAATTACTGTGTGGGGAGCTGGAGGAGAGTGCCATGTGTGAGACACTAGACTGACAGCTATTTAAGGGGCAGCCTCGTAAAAGAGATTTGTGCCCATCTCCGGCGTGGAGGCGATGGCTGCACGGCGGCGGTGGCTAACGCGGCACCCTCCCCTAGTTCAGCCCGCCCTAATCTACAGGACCGAGTGCTCCCCTCCTGTATTATGGATAATTTAGTAAAGCCATAAAAGCCTAGGTGTTTTCACATGAAAAGTTATTTCTCCGCTACTTTCAGGCGTGATTCATTCCTCAGCGGTCCACATAAGGGTGAGGAAGGGAAAAAAAGTGAAGAAAAAAAAAAAATGACTGTCATAAAAGTCAATGGCCTGCTTACTGAACATTTCTACGAGGTCCCTATGAGGATTTAGTGATAATATTTCCCATCTGCCGTGATAGAAAAATAAATCTAGCCTTTATTAGCCCTTACCTTGGTTATTTTATTAGATTGTGTCATTATTTGTTTAGTAGACAGTATTGTGGCGCCGTGGCCTTCGGTTGGCTCCTGTGAACCACATCTACTGTTCAGTCTGAAAGTAATCGATTTAATGCTTAGAGTGCAGAGTAGGCACTAGTGCGGCCAGGGGACCGAGGAACAGAGCGAAAACGATGCTGAATAATGCAATGGGCAATACGAACATAATCTCTTTGAAACAATAAACTCTATTGGAATTTGGTTAACATACCTGTGCGTGTAATGAAATGTATCAGTTGAATATTTTTTACTGTATATCCAAAAGACTGCCACTACTAAAATGTCTGGGTCATTTTACTCAAGGCATGAAAAATGTCCCTTGAAAGCATCTCTGCCTGCTCTGCATTTGTCCATCCAGCTCTACCAGGTGACACATCAGATTTACCCACTTCCATGTCTATTCATGCTCAGCCAATCTCCCGACACTTCAAAATCAATGAGTTACAATGCAGGGGTTGAGTCTATAACACTGGATGTTCCTTGGCTCACAAATATACTTGGATGTGGGCCATATTGATCGAGGCACGTGGCCACTGCATCCCATTCCTCTTCTCTGTGATCTCTCTCATTTCACGTCTCAACTGCACTTTCATGACTGTAACTTCCACAAGCTACAGCTCTCCACAGCCCTCCACAGACAACCACAGCATCCAAAGGTTATATGACCATATGAGTGATGATTACTTTAGTCTCTACTACACCTGTGGTGGAATTCCACTCTCTTGTGCGTTGATCTGTGCTCTACGCAAAGCCATGTGCTGTGCCCTGTCAATCAACACACGCAGCATCAGGTAGGGGTTAGATGGCTGTGACACAAATCTAATTTCCTGGCTTGTCTTTGCTGCCCAGGGTCCCCTTAGAAGAGAACTACTCTCCAGTCAGAGAGACAGCTCTGCATCCGACTGTGTTGATCTTTGGGGTCACTGTGAGTGTGTCTCGTGTGCAAATAGGACTTAAAAGCATACACATTACTACACTTTGAGAAATGCTTTCTTGCTGTTTCTACCAGACCTGGGTTCAAATACTATTTGAAATGATTTAAAAAATACTTTATCTGTGCTTGATTGAGCCTTCCTGACTAAATGGACCAATAGAATAGTCCAACAACTGCAAACCCTGCCCATTTGGCACTTCAGGTAGGGTAGAGCAAACACTCAAATAATTCATAAGATTTCAATAGTAT